GAACGAGTTTAAGAGTTTTAAGAGTTTAAGAGTTTTAGCCAAATGCTTTATAATATAGTATAGATTCCTTCCAAGAAATTTTGAAATTAAATATTTAGCAGAGAGAATTAATATTCTATTAAATGTATAAAATATTCTACTAATATAATCAATGCTGTAATCTCTAAAATGAAGAAGTTGTTGGAGTTGAATATATTTTTTTAAAGATTTTGAATTTTGATTCTTCAATTTCAGATAAATTTGCTGTAGAACTGATTCTCCAAATTTTCTCCAAATGGTAGACAAAAATCAAAATCCTCGAAAGATATTGCATTCATCTCCAACAGATTTTTTATTTTAGAGATTATACAAAATCAATCATATTATTAAAATACTTAATAAAATATTATTTATCTCGTAAATATTTAATTTCAAATATTTTTAAATAAAATATATTTCTCACTCTTAAATTATCATTTTTACAGAATTCTCCTTATCTGGATTTTCTTCTCTCTCATACTTTCCTTATCTCTAAAAAATCTATTGGAGCAAAAAAACTCGAAAAGCCCAAAATCTTCATTTTTTTTATTGAACTGGATATCCAACATATACGAGCCGACTAATCTCAAGGCAACCACCTGCTTTGCAGATAGCCTGGAGTCACCACATTTGAACCTCCGTGGCCACAAGAGGATTTTTATTCCTCTTTGGATTTGACCCTGAGACCTCCTAGTACTTTTGACCTTTGGAGTCAAGCTTAAACCAATCAGACCAGACACCATCTTTGTGGTTCATTTTATTAATTTTTGCATTCTGTTGAAGATGCTCTTAGAACCCAATCGATGTGGGACGTAAAGTTGGCCCTCTGCTTTTGTACTCACCTCACTCTTGCTCTGTTCTTTTGTTCATTCGATGTGAGATGCAAACCATAAACCGAAAGAAAAAAATTTGGCCCTTTTTTTGTACCCACATCCCTCTTGCCTTTTTTGTTCCTCATCCGATGTGGGATGTAACCCGTAATGTTGAAAAAAAGTTGGTAATTTCCTTTTGTACTCACGTCACTTTTGCTTTTTTTCTTTTGTTCATTCGATGTGGGATGCAAACTGTAAATTGAGAAAAACGTTGGTCATTTTCTTTTTGTATCTACCTCGTTATTGCTTTTTTATTCATCATCCGATGTGGGATGATGAAACCATAAATATAACGGGCATTTTTCCATAAATGATATGATTAATATGTTGGCAGATAAAACGATGCATTTTCCATTCTTGACCCTTTTCTGTACCCCCACTTTCTCTTCTTTTTTACATTTTCGCATCCAAAGTAGGATGCGAACTGTACATTAAAGGGAAAAAAGTTGGTTTTTTTTTTTGCATTTATCATTCACTCATCTGATCTGATGTGGGATGCAAACCATGAATTGAGAAAAATGATTTATAATGCTTAGGAGTTATCACACTGTGCTCCTCAGTTATTCCTTTTATAAGTATCAGTGTTTTTTTTTTCCTTTTTGTACCAACCTCTTGTTTGTCTCTTTTATTACATCATCCGATGTGGGATGTAATTAATAAATTAAGAAAAAAAATCAGTTCTTCTTTTGTATCCACCTCCTTTTGACTCGTTCGTTTTCTCATCCAATGTGGGATGCAGACCATAAATCCAGATAAAAATTATCCTTTTATCTTTGTACCAACTTTTTTTTACCTCTTTCATTAGGGGTGTACAAAAACTGTCAACCCGTGAAACTCGCCCAACCCAACCCGTTAACAACCCAATTAAACTCAACCTGCCAAACCGCTAATTAAGATGGTTGAAATTGGGTTAACATAACTCAACCCAACCCAATCCGCCGCTAATATATATTATTTTTATAAAATTATGTATATATATGTAGGATATTTACAAAATTATAATTTACAGTCCAAAAATATGTATATTTTTTAGTTTAATGTACAACTCAGGTCAAGTTTAATAGAACCAATACTCCAATTCAATTCACTGATTTAGTTATCGACTTCACGTTCTTCTATTGTCTACTCGTCTAACGTCCCCAAATTTACGAATCATGAATTAAGAAAAAGGAAATTATGATTCAGTTGCCACCTCATGCTCATTATTTGTTCTTTTTGTATATATTTAATTTAATTCAAGTTTAAACATGAGGCATGACGTTTGTTGTTTGAAGGTTACTGAATGGTTTGATGTAGAATGATTAAGTGATCAGAATGATTAAGAGRCKYTYATGATATARTGCAAAATGAAATATAATTGTTTGGTGATTGTTCATAATGAAATTAGGGAGCTCAATGGTTAAGGGCAACCCAAAATACAAAATCATTTAGAGGGTTTTAAAACATTAAGAGACAACTTTTCTTTTGTCAAACAAGATTCACCTCTTAGCGATTTAGATGTTGCTTCTTAATAGAACTATTAAGAGATAAACAAACAGCCTCTAATATATTTGGCCATAAACCATTTATTTATCTTTTTAGAATTAACGAAAATGTTTAGTAAGAGATATTAAGCAGTAATTATTGGGGTTAAAAGTAACAGAACGAAACAGTTATGAGGATTTAAGAGTGTTCTTTTTCCTGATCGTCTTCTCTAATCCACAACTGTTTTTATAGTATCCAGTATTAATTACACTTCTGTAAAACTGTTTAAATTTTAATAAATTTCCAGATTTTTGAATAATTTTTTAATAAATGGGTGAGATTGTAGAATAAATTTCCAAATTTTTTATTTAAATTTAGAGTTTAATATTTTCATGTAAGTGATATTTGTTTTTTAAGAGGTGTTGAAATTTAAAGTCTTATTTTACATTTTCTTAATAAGAGGTGATGTTAAAGACTGAAATCTGAATCAATAAGATTGTTTGTATTTGTAAACCGATAAATGTCTAAATTTGTTTAAATTATCTGTTTTACCCATTAGAAAATCATAGTGTTGAATTTATAGATAAATTTATATAATTTCACGTATTTATTCACCATTATTACGAAATTTACATCTAAATTATATGATTAACATTCATTTAAACGAGAATATGCCATTAACATTATATAACACATTTAAATTATATTAAAATACATAATTGAGAGAGATGATGATAAGGATCGAACGAGAGAAATGATCGATCAAGGTTAATCGATTGAGAAACGTCGTTGCTAAGGGTTTGAATAACAATACGAGGCAAATAAGAGGTTGGTTTACCTCTTACCAGATAAGAGAATAATAAGACATAAGTGTCTCTAAAAAATTAAAAAATAATAAACAGTCTGAATGGCTATACCTCTTAACGAATCAGACGTAAGAGGTTAATAAAAGTATTTTTGAAAAAAACAAACAACGCGAGTGATTTAGTATTTCTACGGTTTTCAGCTAATTTTTGTCAAGCTTGATTATTTCAACGATTTTCATCACTTGGAAAACGAATTTTATCGTTCACGTTAATCACAATTTCCGGAAATAGCTCTTTCTACTTCCGAGGACTTCGATTTACGTTAATCACAGTTCGTTTTAGGAAACGAAAGATATTTTAACATTTGGGGCAACTCATTCTAATACTGCTAGGCGCAATCTTACGAACAGTAGTAATGCAGAAATAAGGAGTTCGAATGAGATAGATCAAACACTGATCTTTAGAGCGGTTCAGCCAAAAGTACATATTCAACTTTTCTCGAGCTCACATCAAAACCACGATCCACTATCGTTTATACGAATCACGAGTATATTCTTTCCAGTTAAGCAAAAGCTTTAAGCTCATCACGCACAATCAATCTGAATCACTTGCAAATAACAAGAATTATCAAGATAAAATACAACTGACTTTCTTTTATATGACTGAATGTGACATACATGAAATTTTCCTCAAAAGACAATGAGCTGTTTGACAGTTCCTAAATGGTTTGGTACATAATGATTAAGTGGTCAGAATGATTAAGAGACTTTCATGAAACAGTGCAAACTGAAATATAACTGTTACAATGAAATTAGGGCGCTGACTGGTTAAGGGAGGTCCATGATACAAAACCATTCAGAGGGTTTTAGAACCATTAAGATGCAATTTTTTTTTGCCAAACAAGATTCACCTTTAACGATTCAAAAATGTCTCTTAATAAAACTATTAAGATGTAAACAAAACAAACCCCTGAAATTGATCCCAAATACATGAGAGAACATACATCGACAAGAATTTTCAGAGTTCCAGACCGAACTCTATTGATGAAACAGAAATCATAGCGGACGTCTGAATCCACCATCCTCCAGCTTTAAATCATTCTATATCTGTCCAGACAATATACACACTGATTCAAACTGCAAAATCCATCTTTTTTCGTTTGACAAGAACATTTCGAATCGGATGTGCGTCGATTTGACGCACATCCGATATTTGTCCGAATTTAATTCGGACAAATACAAAAACGTAACGTCGTAAATGAAACTTTCTACAAAATTCAGATAAAAAAATTAAAAAAATGAGATGAAAAATGAGTGCTTTTAAAAAAGTTAACCGTCGGAAAGTTTGATTGGGAAATGAAGTATGAAAACCGGAAAAAGGTTTTCCCACATCGGTGTCGCTGCCAATTTCTTCATAAACATCACCGGAGTTTTCTCCACCTCCGGCAGTCACTTTTTCCCGCCTCACCACTCTCTCCGTCCCTCACTGACGGCGATTGAATTGCGTATTTTTCGTCTCTAGGGTTTAATTCCAATCAATTCGCTCCCACCTGTTCGTGAAGCAACAAAATTGGTAATTTTATTCATACACTGAATCTCCGATCTACTTCTGTGTATGTTCGTCGATCTTTTCTTTGTGTTTTTTAATTTTGATTTTTCTGATGTATGTTTGTGGAATTATCTGGCAATGTCGTCGATCATTTATATGAAAATTTACTGTTTTCCCCAAATTGAACTCCATTTGTCCGCTCCAAAACGAGGGATTTGGTGTGAAATTGACATTACAAGTTGATGCAATCAGGAACAGTTTCATTAAGAAGTTCAAAATTTATGGAGCTTTTTGTGCTCGACAGAAAATATGTGTAATTGCGGTTGCACCTATTGCGATTTGAGTATAAGTGACCTGAATTGGGGATTATTCTTTCAACATGTTCTTTAGATGTGAATATTGACTGTGAATTATTAGGTTTTGTCCAGAGTCTATGACGATAGTTGTGAACTTGTGTTTGTAGTTCTAATTAAGTATTGGAAGTTTTCGAAGTTGACTTGATTTTTATGAACTTACCCACTTCATAGGTGATTAGATCTCTTATATCAAACAAGACATGAAAAAGATAGACTGAAACTGGTAAAAGGGTTGTGGCGTAGTGGTTGAAGCCTTGGGGATGTGATGGAATATCCCATTTGCCCATGGTTTGATTCCAGGCGTTCACAACAATTTTGGCCACTGACTTTATCAGTGTTGATTTCTTGCGTCACAATTTGCCGGGAATTAGTCTAGGCATAGCATGGGACACCCTTCCAAAACCCCCCGATAAAAGGGGAGTTGAGATGGTTTTTTTGATTTAGGAGCCGGGGTAAACAGTAGACATACCTATGTAATGAATCCTAAGTTACCCATCGGAAAACCATGGTGTAATGCCTTTTGAATGTCAATTATATACACCATACCGCTATGATGGATTTATTTGTAAAAACGGAATTTTTCTGAAGGAAGACGAAAACTTTACATGGAAATAATAGTTTGGTAAATTATCTAGACTCATAAGTGGTTCAATTTGGATTCAGAACAAGTTAATTTTTAGACAGGATTATAGTGGATATGCAATACCATTAAAGTTAGCGCGTAATCTAGTACGGGCAAGGATTAAGCGAATGCCTAAGCATGCCCATTAGCTGTTCATTATAGCTCATAAATATAACTATTTTATAGAATATGTAAACAACCAAATTTGGGGGGTTTATGTTGTTGGTCTGTTTCTCTAGGGCAAGTTTATATGAGATCTAAGTAAGGTCATGCGTCGGATGTGGTGTCTAAGCCTAATTTTTTCTGATTTAAGCTCTCATATTAGAATGGAGGTTTGGATGTTATATTATATTGGTATGAACACTTTTCTAAATGACTAATTTCAATGTTACATGGATACAATGTTCATGAAGGATTTGTAAGATTATCTTGAAGTCGAGAAAAGTTGATTTATGAACACAAGTGCGAATACTCATTAATTGTTGCTTAATTTTTTAAAACACTAATCCAAGTTGCCTGCTGTTATATAAGTTGGTGAGGACGCAGGTAGCCAAGCTACCTTAACCAACCAAAGTGGAGAAGACGATTAGTGCATAGACAGACGCTTAAGTGGCCTTGAAATGTAGATTTTGAGAACACAGAGACACACACATAATAATACTAATTGTAGGAAATGGTACATTGAAGATAATATTTATGTGATTCCATGATTTTGTCTACACACATGACTGTTGCAAGGATTCTTATAGTATGTATCGTGAATTACAATACTACGTTATCAACATTGCAATTTAGCTTATTTTATAACCAGAACCAACATAGTAAGTTGTCATCCTAACTTGCTCCAATGTGGAGTCCAAATCGAGCTCCATCGGCAACATGTTCACTTGTCATAAAGTTTAGTGTGTTGATTATTCGATCAAAGTCTAATATGTTGCACCATTATGTGTTTCCTGTTACTCTATCTGATTACTGTGAATAAGTTGTATGTTATATAATAACTTCCGTATAGTTTGCTGATACATTATCTTCATTTTTGTGTTATGTCAATTCATTCTCTCTAATTCTCTGACTGTGTGAATTGTTAAAACTTACTTTTGCATGCTAATTTGATGGAGGAAGTATCTTTACTGGTGCATTTTCTTGTTGTTAACGAACTTTATGTTGTGGATAATGTACCTTAAGCATTTACAATCGTACATATGAAATGATTGAACATGTGTTTTGCTTGATTGTAATCTTGTCTAAGGCTGAGGTGTATTATTTTTCTTGTTTACCCTGTTCCATTCTATCGTACTTGCTGGTTTAACCTTTGAACATGTACAGCTTCTTTTCTCGTTTATTAGTATTCAAGCCTGCATTTTCTTCATGGTTTTGTGATTGGAGAATAGTGGGAAGTCATCTATTTTTGATTTACTTTCTCCTTTTCTGGTATCATATCGGACAGATCAGGCTAAGGTGATATTTATGATCTGATGTGATTCTACCAGATAAAAGTTTGTTCTTTTTAAAGATTTGATCCATTAATATCTATGTTTGAATTGATCAAATAAAATTAGATTGGATGAGATTTGTGAACCTCATGAGACTCCCTATTGGTAACTGTGATGGGCTTATTATTTTCATGGAGGTCAACTTATCTCTTTCTGGTTGTGACTCTACTTTTTTTATCACAGGAAATGGAGACTCGTATTGACTTTGTGCGATGGCTTGATATTGATGTTGTACTCAAAATCCTTATGTGTCTGAATGATCCAGCTGATCTCATCCGTGCATCAGCTGTGTCTCAATACTGGCAAAAGTTTGGTGAGTATCACAGATCTAATTGACTAAGGGGCTGTTTGGTTGGTTTTCCATCAAGTCATGTATGGATAAAGCTGTCTGTGTGGGTTAATCTGTCTGTATGCATTGGGAAGGTTTTTTCATTGATAGAAGGAGCGTGTTTTTTAATTGCAAGGGGCATGTTTGGAAAAAACGTGGCTCTCTGCATAAAGCTCTCCCCTAGAAGCTTACTAAATAAGTCACTTTCTATATCATTAAGCCATTACCAAACAGTCATGTATAGCTGACCGAATAAGCTGTGAGTCCCATTAGCTACTAACAAACAAGCCCTAGTTCTATGTTTATGCCATATATAAATTGATTTTTCATGTTTTACCTGATTACATTGGACGTACAACCATGGTAACCAAAAAAAGAAAATTTTAGTAACACTGCACTTCTTGTCTATGATGGAAAACTTACCATTCATGTTCTAATTGTTTAAAAGCATATTATGAGGAAACAAACCCGCTTGTTCTCCAGTGATTTCTTATGGACTTTGCAAGCAACTCTGCACAAAAACTTTTCCCCAGCTCGCCAGCATCACTCACGTAACAGAACCAAGTGACAACTCTGACGATCCTTCTGGCGGCACTTCTGAAGACAGTATTTTTCGGAGAGAACACAGGGCATACGCTTCACTATTTCAAGCCGTGGCCTCATTTCCGGCGAGGTTTTGCATCGCTTCTCCAGTAAGCGCCTCCAGCACTGATAATTACCCTGAAGAAAGCATCGTGAACACTCTAGATTCTAGGGACCAAATTCTAGTCAGAGCCTCTTACTGGTCGAGTAAAGGGCACGACGATCCAGAATTGCCAGAAACTCTGATATACAAATTGAATGCTAATTTTTGCGTTATTACAGAGATTAATATTACACCTTTTGAAGGTTTGTTCTCAGTTCTCACCCCATTGTTTGTTTTTTTTCCGTAATTGCTTCTATTTATATTGTTGTTGCTTACTTTTATCTAGTTTTATTGCTGTTGTTCCCTCTTATCTTTCACTCTTATCTAGCTTTTCATGTTTTAAAATAGGGAAATTGACAGAAATAGCCAATCATCAAATAGGGTTTCACTTTTTAGCCATTTTTTACCCAAATTCACTTTTTAGCCAATCCTTATGTTGAAGGCTTACGTAGAAAGTGGTTTTCTCAGAATCTTGACACAGAAAGTGGTTTTTTGCGTAAGGATTCCACTTTCTGCGTGAGGATTCTTATTTTATTTTTATTTTTATTTTGCCGAAAACCAATCCTTACACATATGCATAAGCCTTTTGTGTAAGGATTGGCTAAAAAGTGAATTTGGTCATAAAATGGCTAAAAAGTCAAACCACCTATAACCTTGGCTATTTATGTAAATTTCCCTCTAAGAGTATCTATTTTTCTCCCTTTCACACACATTTCACTAGTTGGGGCTTGTCACTGAAACAACCACTTTACTCTTTACAATATAGGTCAGGTCGGCGTACATCTTACCCTCCCACCTTCGGGTGGGATATATTGGACTCGCTTGGTTTGGTTTAGTTTGTTCTCACCCCACCCCCCTATATACGCTTTTTTCACCATCTAACTCATTGATGGTTTGTATTTGCGTGCCTAGCCTTGTTCCAAGTGGGGTCTCCAATCTACTCATCAAGATTTGTGCGATTCCGAATGGGTCATCCTAAGTCTTCTTCTGATATAGATCGTGATTTCTTGGATTCACAAGAAGACGCGAATGATAAATTTGTTTGGACGTACACTTCTCAAACTTTCCCAATGGCTCAGGTGAGATTGTTACGTTGGCCTTTTTGCATTCTATGGTAACAAACATACTTTATAGCCATTCACCAATCTGACAAACGACGAAAATGCAGAACTAATTAGACAAATACATTTTTTTGAATTAGCCTTATTTTCTTAGGTGGGGGGAGGGCTTTTGAATTGTCGGGTGGGGTGGTTTTTCATTAAATTCTGTATGGATAAAGCTGTCTAAATAAATTGGGAAGGTTTTGTTTTGGAGGTTCTTTCATAGATGAAAGGATTGTATTTTTCAATTAGAAGGGGAAGGTGAAAAAAACTTGCCTTTCTACATAAAGCTCCTCTCCTCTAGAAGCTTACCACATGAGCAACTTTCTATATTACTAAGCTACTACCAAACAGTCATGTATAGCTGATCAAATAAGCTGTGAGTCTCATTAAGCTGATTAAGCTGCTAACAAACAGGCCCATAGATAGTTTACCTTTCAGAAAATTCTGATGATATGCTTTCAGTTTGCATCCGATCATCAAATGAAATGTGAATAATCCATTATCTTCTCTTTAATTCACATGCTATTTCACCGGAATAATTTTGTGGTGTAGGAAAATCGCGTACAATGGTTCAAGTTGCCCGAGCCTGTACTATGTATCGGTGGATTCTTGCAAATTGAGTTGTTGGGTCGGGTCCAGAAACAACGATCAGATGCCAAATACTATATATGGTTAGTAAGATAACTGTCTACATTTCTATCATACATTGTTCCAAAATAAGCGTACACTTTCAAAAGTAAGTGCCTACTTTCCAATATTACCCTTTAATTATCAGATGAAGAAATTCATTACTCTCTCTGCTATAAGGGTAAAATTGTCATTTAGTTAATTAAAAGTATATAATTACACATTTCTAAAATGGTCCACCTTTTTCATTGTGGACATCTTTTTTGGGATAGAGGGAGTTTTCCCATACCTTCATGAACTAGTTGTAGCATACCCTCCTTTCCGTGGCTGGTATATCTTGATTAAGTTGTCATTAATCGTTGAGAAATTGACTGAAATAGTCAATCCCCTCAAGGGGTTTACTTTTTAGCCACTTTTTTTACCTTATTTCGACTTTTAGTCATTTCTTACGCATAAGTTTTATGCATATGCTTAAGTTCTGCTTTCCTGCCAAAGAAAAAAAAAATCCTTACACATATGCGTAACTTTATTTTAATTTAAAATAGGTGGCTAAAAGTAAAAAGTGAGGCTTGACTTTTGTTTATGCGTAACTTTTTTTGACTGAAAAGCAAAAACTAACGCATATATAAGGCTTATGCCTAAGAAGTGGCTAAAAGTCGAAATGAGGTACAAAAATGGCTAAAAAGTGTAACTCCCTTTTATGTGATTGGCTATTTCAGCCAATTTCCCGTACTCGTCGCTATTTGGATAAACTATTCAAAGACTCGAAAGATTTAGGTACCTGGTTTACATATGAGAATGCATGAAAATGCAACGTACCTTTATCTTATTCCTATTTTGTGTAATGTGCCTTGGTCTAAATGCTTGAGATACTGTTTGAGGTACCAAAATGAATGTTTTGAAAGTACGTTACACAAAATGAATAAAAAACAGAGTAAAGGTCAACATTGCTTCCCTGACTTTTGCAATTTTCAATGGATATCGTCCTTAAACTTCAAAAAACTTGAATTTGGTCCCTCATGTTTGCCCATTTCCAACGGATTTCCTCCTGCTGTCTAATGGCTATTAACTTTTTCCTTTAAATCCATCTAAAAGAGGGGCATTGTAGTCATTTTACATTTTTAAGCTAACGGAGGGCAAATGCTAGGGAACAAAACTAGGTTACATCTTCACGCAACTCGGGGTCGTATGATTATGTTTCCATGAATGCACAAAGTACAAATGAGTCGAATTCTGCGGTACTCACAAAAATGTTTCCAGAAATACCCCTCTTGTGATCGATCTCTTTTGTCCATTTGATGCAGTGTGGCTCACGTCCAAGCTATAGGATGCCAACTATCACCTGCGTTTAGTGTTGATATTTCCGAACCATCCAACACTATATCTCTTGAATACAATTCCAAAGAATTCATGCGCATTTCGCAAGATCCTTCCGCACTCGGTACTAATCTGCTTCCGGTTCAACCTCCTCGAGGATTCATTTGGGAAAACTTGCAGGAGTTCGTGGATATGATTCAGCTGCAGCAAAACGTAATGGAGTTCGCGTGGATTAATGACGACTTTGAGATGGATGAGTTCGATCCGGTAGCGCTTATGATGTAGGTAAGCTTTCGTAGATATATGTGTTTCTACAATCTACATGGATGTTTTCTGCTCGTTTTCTTCGTGTATGGAACGGGATGGTGTTTTTCGAGCAAAATAGTTGTTGTGTTTGATCCGAAGTGAAATTGAAGCGAAAACAAAACTCGTGTTGTTCAAGTTTTTATAAATTATAATAATACAAGTTTTATGGAATTTTAAGGCCCGGACCGGGATGCGTTATGTACGGAATCGAGTTTCCAAAAAAAGTTTTTATGTTTTTATAAATTATAAATTTATGATGCAAGTTTTTTAGGTAAATGTATTATTTAAAGTGTATGACATTTTTTTTGTGAAAATGCTTTGTTTTAAAAAACTAGGCTGGGGTCGGGACCTGGTATCGGGCCTGGGATTTTTGGTCTGGACCGGCCGGTGCGGTTTTGAAGGGACCGATTTAGGACAGGCTCAGGACTGATTTTTGGTCATCTTTGTGACTAGAACCAAGAATATTGCTCAGTAAGAAGCATGACGATGAACGGGAATATTACCCTGATAAGTAAGGATTGTGAGTGGCCGTTACCAAACGCTAACCCGGTAAGCGTTTACCGGCAAAAGACATCACCCTCACTTACCGGGTAAGACTCTTGATTCTTTTACCAAGATAAGTGTAACCCCTTGTCAAACAACAGTCCAATTTTGACTTTAGAAAGTCAAACTTTGACTTTCCCAAGTTCTATTTATATTTTCACAAGAACAATGATTTATTGTTGCAACTTCACAGAAACATACCAAAAATTACAAACTTCCATTTCAAACCCTAAATTTTCCCAAACAAACTTCTAAATTTCCCTCTTTGTAACGTTTCCAACAATTTTTTCGACCCGATTATATCCATTTCCGTAAGTTTTTTCAAATACCCGATTGCCCCGTACGCTATCATAAGCTTCCGACACTTGTTGCTCGTCGACAGGACCCCGAGGCAACAAACCGCGTACTTTTTGGCCGTGTTTTGTGGGCTCGGATCAAGCAATTGAACCAAACTCGGAACGCTCCGTGTGTCCCGTTTCACTTCTCGAGCGTTCCGAGGAACCGTCATCAGGCTTGCGACCGCTTGCACCGCCACCTCCCAAACCTCGTTCGGTTTCGCTTCGAGTAATTTGATCAGTATCGGGATGCACCCACTTTCCCCCACGAGTTTTTTCGTTTCCGGTGAGTCGGAAATTCGACATAGGGTTTCCGTCGCTGCTTTTTGGGCTCCGGTGGTGCCTGAGGTGAGAACGTGGATGAGTCTATGGAGGAGACCGAGCGAGATCAGGGTCTCGACGGAAACGGACCCGATGAGGTTTCGGATCGTCCTGATGGCAGGTTCTGGCGGGAGACCGCCGTCGAGGTATGACAACAGACTGCGGACCCCGCCTTCGTTGATAACCAGTCGTTTGAGATCATCGTTACCGGAACTGAAATTCCACAGGCACTCGGCTGCGTGTTCCTTGGATACCAATAACAGTCCGGAATCGAGTACATCGATCATGATCTTAACGATTCCATCTTCCGCCAGTGTCTGCCGGAGGTCCAGTACGACGGATAAGTTCTTCAAAGTACAAGCGGCGGAGGCTTGGGAAACGGAATCGCCGGAGCAACATACTTCGGCTAGCGGCTGCACCCCGCCATGGCCCGCTATCGACTGCCCGATCTCCGCCGACACCGATAATTTTTCGAGGGCGATTGCCGATTTCTCTCTACCGACGGAACTACCAGACTCGAGCAGCCTAATGAGCGGCGGCAAAACGCCTTCCGAAACAAGCAAATCGTCACAACCGCCCGACTCCGCTAACGTACAGATCAAAGTAACGGTCTTTTCCCGTATTCTCGGAGATGTGGCTGTGAGGAGTTGTACCAAAGCCGATATACTGCTTCGTCCCAACAAGGGCAAAACGGTCTTTTCATCTTCTTTCATCGCATCAACAAGACTATCCAGAGCTTTATGTTTAGCTTCCAAATGCCCGATCTGCAGCCTAGCTAACAGCTCCGTAACGTTACTGCTTCCAAGACTTGTACCTTCGAAGCCCGACAACGTACAACCCGACAATGCAACCTCGCCCAGAACCCCTGTTTTTATCAGAATCCCGCAATCTCGTAGATTCAAATCGATCTTTCCCAATAACGCATCGAGATCACTCTGCATTCGAAGCTTTCCTTCATGTCTATCTTTCGAACACTTCTCCGCCATTTCGATCGATTCGGTCAAAGTCTTTGAAACCGCTTGCAGCTGTTCGATGCACAATTTGTTCTTCGAGAAGCATGGATGGCTCGATAGATCCGACAACCGACTCGGGATTTGCTCTAATTTCGATACAATCGTTTTCCACCTCCCCGGAAACCCGTTAACCGCCCGCGCCTTCTCCACCGCTACCGATACAAGATCATTGGCATACGACAACCACTCTTCGGTTGACCGAAGGTCAACCATGACCTTATTCTCTTTATCATGATCTTCTACCATGATTTTGAGGAAATCAAACCTGCTGGAAACATAAACAAATATAAAAACAACATCTGTTTCAAGATTTAGAGATTAAGGGGCAGTTTGAAAATTGCTAAATGATTAAGTGGTCAGAATGATTAAGAGACTCTCATGATATAGTGCAAAATGAAATATAATTGTTTGGTAATTGTATACAATGAAATCAGGGCTCTTAATGTTTAAGGGAGATTCATGATACAAAATCGTTCAGAGGGTTTTAGAACCATTAAGAGGCGGATTTTTTTTTGCCAAACAAGATTCACCTCTTAACGATTCAGAAGTTGCCTCTTAATAGAACTATTAAGAGGTAAACAAACAACCCTAAAATGATATGGGAATCAATTTACAGAAGTCAAACCTGATGATGATGATTTCAAGATTCTAGGGCTAAAATGATCCAAGAAACCAACTTTGAAAAGTCAAACCTGCAGAAATCAATATATATATATGATCAAAAAACATGAAATTTTTAAGATTATTTGGAGTAAGATCATCTGGGAACCAAATTAAAGAAGTCAAACTGGAATATAAAGAAGTCAACATGCAGAAATAACGAACAGAAGAAACAAGAAAATGTTCAAGATTTTGAGATTAAAAGTCAAAACCAGATAAGAAACCCAGAGATTTCAAGATTTCGACACTAAAACGAGATCTAAGAGAACCAACCGAAAGAAGTCAAACTTGAACGTCGAAAAGTCAAACCTGCAGAAGCTAAAAACACGAAAAATTCAAGATTCTGGGTGGGAAAACGATCTAGGAACCAAACTAGTGAAGTCAGGGCTGCAGGACCTTTCTAGATTTCTATACGAAACCGAAGAACGAATCAACAGATGACGAGACGAAATTGTTTCAAGATGTCGAGACCCGGAATGATCTAAAGAACGAATCCCGTAAGCCATTATAAGATCTAAAAGCTAAATCTTTAGAGATCAGAAAGCATGATCCAGGTCATTAAAGATTCTTGAAAGCTTGAAGAAACCAACATGTTCATGTTATGGGACCCAAAATGAAAGGAAAAGAAGATCAAGATCATAACTTTACTTTACTGATGCATTCACAAGTGATTTTGAAGGGGAAAAAGGAGTAAAGACTGAAACTTTTGAGAATCTTGCATGATCATAAAGCTTCTTCACCTAAATTAAGAAAGTGTCTGTGTGTGTATGCATATATGAAGGTTCAAATGAGAAGGCTAAATATGACGAGAATGTGCAAAAGGAATATTCACATGTGAATCATTGGAAAAATCCGGAAAAAAACCCATTTAAAGATGCATATGTGAACCCACGTTACAGATTAAAACGAACGACCCTTGTACACGGAGCCGTGCATTATCCACGACATTAACCTATAATCTTCCGTTCACAAAAGGTAACCATTTATCTACAATTTTTCATTTCGTGGGTCCCATTTCATTTCTTCTGAGAAACAAAGGGCAACGTAATCACATCTTCGGTTTTCCATAGACCATATAAATGGGACGAAACCAAACCAAACCAAACCAAACGAGGCCAGTATATCCCACTTGGAGGTGGGGTCCAGGGGTAAGATATATGCAAAGCTTACCTCTACCTTAAAGAGTGAGTGACTGTTTTCGTGAAGACGCCCAGCTAGCGAAAAGTGTGTGAAACGGAGAAATACATACACGCTAAAATTCGAAAAGCTAGATATATAACTCGTATTTACCGAAAGGTCCTACGATCGTGTACCATAAGTGATTGTTGCAATTTGCATGGTGTGGACAAGAAGTACTAATCTTTAAGAGATGTTAAATTTTGCTTTAAAGAGAAGACATGAAAGGTCACTATCTACCTCCAATTTCACCCATACATGATGTATTTAAATTTTGGAAAGGGACCAAACCATCAAGTTTTTTCTTTTATATCTAAAATAAATGAAACCACAAGGGTGGTGTCTGATTGGTTTGAGCTTGGCTCCAAAGGTCAAAAGTATCAGGAAGTCCCGGGTTCAAATCCAAGGAGGAATAAAAATCCCCTTGTGGCCACGGAGGTTCAAATGCGGTGGCTCCGGGATATCTGCAAAGCAGGTGGTCGCCGTGGGATTAGTCGGCTTGCCTAGTGGGTTGGATATCCAGGTTAATCAGAAAAAAAAAATGAATTGGGTAATAAATACAAAATCAAGATCATACCTTAAAGCGATTGGTCTCTCGCGAACATTTGAACGCTCAAAACCCTTCGATTCGCCCTTGAAAACTTCTGAAAAATCAATCAAATACAATGCAATCAGAAGGAGGGTTTCTTACAACAATTTCTTTAGGAAATTAGACGCGAAAAGATGTTTCAAGATTTCTTGATTTTACGAGGGTTCGATAAACTTTTCGAACCATTATACTTGGATTTGTTAAACACACAATCTTTCTTGTGAAAATGCAAAAAGAACACATGCAAATATGAGCAATTCTGGAAAAAAAGTACTAAATCTTTCGACAATATGTTCACGAATCGCTAATCTTTTAGTAAAACATAGTGATCTCGGGCATTTGTTCAAGAATCTTGGTTAAATTTGCAATGGAGAACAAAGTCCATAGCTCAAAAAAGTCTGTTTTTGCATGCAAATAGCACAAAAACAGGGAATTTGAATAAGATTACTAAAGATTAAGTTTGGAAACTCAAATTTCCTAATTTGGAAAGTAGCCAATGGATTACAGAATTCATTTCTTGGAGAATTGACTCATACCCCCCAAAGATTTGGTTTTTAAACCCTAATTTCTCAATTAAGAAAGCATAATCTAAGGGACCATTTACCAAACACTAAGCGCTTACCGGTAAAATTTAACATTTACTTACCAGATATCGTATGCGACAATTTACCCGGTAAACGCTTACTGTGGTAAGAGTCGTCGTCTCGCCTCTGCTTACCGGGTAAGACTCTTGGTCCTTGTCTCACTCTTACCAGGTAAGATTTTCTTGGTCTGGTAAGGTAACGTGACTTGCTAGCTTTTGGTAAACGTCCCCAAAGTCTAAACAAACAAAAATTGAAGAAATCTGAGAAATACCCATTAAAGCTTAAGCTTCAAAACTCAATTTTCTTGATCCAGAAGTAACAATTTCTCTTGAAGATATGACTTCAATTTATAAAACACAAACTACCATTAAAGAATCCAATTCAAAGAAACACCCATCAACAATTTGATTTCCAGACCCTAATTTAAGCATAAAGAAGGAGTAAACAAATCAAATATGAAAAATTCAAGAATCACCCACCAAAAGATTAAGCTTCAAAACTCTGTTTCCCCCAAATCAAAATCAACAACAAGAATCAGACCAAGTAATCTCTTCAAAAATCGACACAAACCCACCAAAATTGAAAGAAAACCCGACAAATACCCACCAAAAATGGATCCTGAAACACGAATTTGAACCATAAATTGGCTTGACTTCGTCCATCCATTATTGAGTTGCACATGAATGCATTATTAATAAAGTTAACGAGAAACAACAAAAACGAAATCATTGAGAATCTTGAAACTGAGATGCTAAAAGTTGATTTTAAAAAGCAAAAAAAAAAAAGAGGGGTTTTTACCCGTGATGAAGATGATCGAGCTTTATCTGAATGTCGACAGAGAAGAACAAAAGCATTCCAAGAAATCAAAATTTGTAGAAGTATAATGTCAGTGTTGGCTGAGCTGTGCAGCCCTTTTCAAGATTCACTTAATGAACCCAGTCTGTATCTAGATGTAATTATCAAAATCATTAAATAATATCATTCTCATTTGAATACGGTGACAATTTTGTAATTATTGAGAAGTCTCGTGGCAATTTTGTGATTATGAATGCTTAGATTGTAGATCTAATCCAAGAGTTGAGAATTGGTCTTACGGGTCTCACAAAAAACCCTTGGTCTTACATGATCCCAAGTCTATATATATATATATGTGTGTGTGTGTCGTTTATTTTATGTCTCATCAATCATGTAAAGACATTAACTACAAGGGTGGTATCTGATTAGTTAAGATTAAGCTCCACAGGTCAAAAGTGTCTGGAGGTTTTAAGTTTAAATTCAAGGAGGAATAAAAATTCCTTTGTGGCCATGGAGATTCAAATGCGATGATTCCAAGCTATCTCCAAAGCATATAGTCATCCTGAGATTAATCGGCTCGCACAACATGTTAGATATCCAATTTAACTAAAAAAACATATGATTATTTTATAAATGATGCTATATGCACTCATATTATGCTACAATCATGTATTTATTTTTATTTTATGATATGTTTCTATGATTGGTGAATATGGTAGACATGTGATTTGGGAATGTGACATGTGATTTTAATTTTTAAATTTGTATATAATGATAAATTACATATAAAATATCATTACTTTGATMTGATTCCTATTTTATGTAACGTCATTTTAAAACATTCATTTTAGTACCTTATATGTGACATCTTAAACATTCAGAACAATAATCAGATAAAAGTATATTTATATTTTAATTCATCGTTTTATATAAACCAGATACTTAAATGTCTGAAAATTTATACCTAAAAAAACCAAAATGAAATATTTTTTATGGGCATTATAAAAAATGTTTAAATTCAGACGTTTTTGCAAATCATGATGACCATCTTGTAAATTTGAATCTATAAGGACTAAAAGTGTTATTTTCAACAAACCATAAGGGCCATATTTGTCTTCTTTTTGATTTTGGAGGGTGTATAATAAAATTTTAATTTAGTGCAAGTTACGTTTTTAGTCCCTATGATTTGTTGGAAATTTCTATTTCATCCTTGTGATTTGAAATTACGGTTTTCGCTCCCGTGATTTATAATCCGTTATCGTTCTCATCTTTATGATTTAAACTTTATTTCTTTTTTCCTTTTTGAAGTTTACGATCCGTTTCTATTTTAATCCCTCATATTTAAAAGTTGTTTGGAGCCTCAAGGAAAAAATAGAAATGAATCGTAAACTATAGGGATGAAAACCAAAATTTCAAAACCATAAGGACGAAATCCATAATTTTTAACAAACCACAGGGACCAAAAACGTAATTTACTCTTTAATTTAATAGAGTGGGCCTTTTACGTTACGACAAAGACGTTAAATATGAAGCAGCTTCCAAACGATCGTACGGTAAAGAATCAACGAGTAACAGTAGATCTAGCCGTTGATTACCTGTTTGAATTTTGAATTTGCACCGAGCTGACGTGGCAGATGACGTGTTATTTGTTAAGTGGGTCCCTCCAGGTGACAAAATCCAGTAGCCATGTTCGTGTGTGCTATAATGATTGTTACTGTAATTTACTTTGTAAATTACCTTTTTTTAAAGTATTTTTTTATTATTAATTTTGATATCCAATCAACTATAAAAACCGATTAATTTTAAGGCGATCATCTGTTTTGCAGGTATGGACGGACTTACAGTGGTGTCAATGGTAGCACGTGCCACCGTATTATTTTTCCGTCAAAGGGTAAAAAAAAATTTGTTCATGAAAGGTACAACCGTATTAATTTGTTGTGTGTCACCTTATGTATTTTGAAACTACAATGTGAACAAGTTTTATTTGGTAGAGTTGGTTTGTAAAGCTCTTATTCCACTCCAAACCCGAGTTTGAATCATGTTAGTGTCATTTTATTAATCAAATAGTGTTACAGTTTGAAAAAATTTCCCCACAAGTCAAATAGTGCCACCGTTTGAAAAAAGTTCTGAGTTCGTCCCTGTTTGCGGGTAGCCCGAAGTCACGTCATTTGAACATTCATGATCACAAGGGGATTTTTATTCCTTCTTGAATTTGAATCTGAGACCTCCAGACACTTTTGACGTTTGGAGTCCAAGCTCAAACCAATCAGACACTACACTTGTGGTTGTATCTTTTGAAATAAACAAAAATTACAAAAGAATTAAGACAACAAAACCATAAGTAATCATTTTTGAAGAGTTTCGAATTTGGAGAATTTCATTCTTTTTCTCTCATATTTTTTCTATTTTGGAAAATAATTTGGTGAATCTGTTAAAGCAAAAAATCTGTAAAATCTCTATTTTAAAGAATTTTTTGGAGATGCTCTTAGATGTTTCTCCAAATTTGAAAATTTCGACTTCCTTTTTTTCTTTTCATTTCAGCATACTTTATAATATATATATATATATATATATATATATATATATTTGGGATCATGTGAGATCAAAGGTTTTCGTGAGACCCGTAAGACCAATTCTCAACCCTTGGATTAGATCTACAATCTGAACATTCATAATCACAAAATTGCCACGAGACTTCTTAATAATCACAAAAATGTCACCGTGCAACTTCATACCATTAAATTATTAGATATAAAGTTGATTAATGAACATAAATTGGTCTTTTGGGTCTCACGAAAATCCTTGGTCTCACGTGAACCCAACCCTATATATGTATATATATATATATATATATATATATATATATATACACACTATATTATAAAACATTTGACAAAAACTCCTAAAAACTATTTTTTATGCATGAAATACTGTTTATTAATGCATATTACTTAAAATTCAATATTACAAATAAATTGTGCTTAAATACAACTTATTAAAGCTTCATGTTTGAAATTGTGTAACTAACTGCAAATAAACATAGTCAAATACAAGATAAACATTTCATTTTAAATATAAAAAATCTAAAATATAATTAGGATAATCATAGAGTTCTAACAAAATACTTAATTATTATCCTTATAAAAAAATTATATTATTAAATAAAAAATAAATTACTTCGTTATTAAATCCAATTGAATTAAAGAAATCAACAAAAAATAAGAACTTTTAAATCAGTTAATTTGATATTAATATTGGTATATTTATTTTTGAAATTTTATAATATCTTCAAATTTATATTTTATTCAAAAATAAAAAAATTTATTCTTTTCTCAAAGCCACATAAAAGTCGTATTATAACATCTATATAGAAGAAATAAAACAAAACATTAAAATCGAGATATACCTCGCTACATTGCTCGAATACCTTTTTCTAGTATATATATAGCTGTTGGAACAGAATTATCTCTTAAATCTCTAATAATATTATAGCATATATGTTGGAGATGCTCGAAGTTCTATAAAATAGAGAACTAAAAATCTCTATTTTCTCTCTCTTCTTCAAAATTTGGAGATTTCTCATTTTATTCTCTATTTTTAAAAAAGAGTTTAATATAGTTGTTGGAGCAAACCTTTTCAAAATCTCGTAGTATTTCTAAAATAGCATAGCTGTTGAAGATACTCGAGACCGGCACGATTTAAAAAAAATGTATTTTTAAATTTATTTTTTAAACGTATTTATAACTTTCTAAGTGTATTTGATTGAAAACCAGTTATAAAATTAAAATATAACATACTTTTTAAGTGTACTTAATCATCCCATTTAATCTCTATTCAATTTATATATGTTATATGGTGTATGGGAAAAGATACCAATTCAAATGCTTACAATTCTCGCAAAGGAAAACGTATTTTTTAAGTGTATTTAATTGATCCAATTACATATTTTCAAGTGTATTAGAATACAACTTTTGTATTCTTTAAAAATAACTTCAAAAAAAAAATACTTAAAAAATCGATTTTTTTATACATAATTCCGGTTTGGGCCCGGCCTGGGACCGATGCTCATAATCAGACCTCATGCACCTTAATCGGGCTTTCGTATTTGAGTCCGGACAGGAACAAATTTCCACTTTGGTATCTGTTACTTACAAATTTCTTTAATAGATTTGTTAATTAAAATAAAAATGGTTAAATAATATCAAAATAAATGAAATTGATTTATCTATACTATATTATAAAACATTTGATAAAAAAAAATTTAAAACTATTTTTTATGAATGAAATACTGTTTATTGATGCATATTTCTTAAAATTCAAGATTACAAGTAAATTGTATATAAGTACAACTTATTAAAGCTCCATGTTTAACTTCGTATAGCTAACTGCTGATAAACATAATCAAATAAAGAATAAACATATCATTTTAAAATAAAAAAAAATTTAATTAGGTTAATTATTGAGTTCTAACAAAAATAATTAATTATTATCTTTATAAAAAATTATATAATTAAACCAAATATAAATTACGTAGTTATTGAACATAGATTAAATTATAATAAAAAAATGAATTAAAAAATTACACAAAAAATGAGAATTTTTAAATAGTTAATTTGATACTAATATCAATATTTTTTTGTCAAATTTTTATGATATTTTCAAATTTATATTTTATTCAAAAATAAAAACATTATCATTTTTTCAAAATCACATAAGACCATATTATAACATCGACTGAGATAAAGAATAAAACAAAACAAGATGTATTTGATTGCATTATGCGAATACTTTTTTAGTATAAATTAATGTCACTAATATCTTATGATACCTACTCATTAAAAAAAATAGTAAATTAAAAATCAGTATTTATTTTAATTAATAAAAAACATTTAAAATTTAAATTTAAATAATATGTCTTTGAGAAAAATGATCAAACACATCATCACATATTCACATGTGATGTCCAAAACAATGACAAAAACCATTCACCTGATTTCACAAGTGTCATCAAAGATACAAAACATTTTATGGACAATAACATGTTTATCATAAATATCTGATTTCTTATTATTTAAATACGACATATTAACAACCGTCGATGTCGAAGTAGTGTAACGACAAGGGCACAACGACGGTGACGATGATGATGATGATGATGATGATGATAATGGTTATGATGATGATGGTGATGGTGATGGTGATGAGGGCAGAAGTGACAAAACGTGTGTTATATCAACAAAAAATGACAAAAAAAAATGACGTAATCTACAGTTTTGAACCTATTTTTCATCCTCGGGACATTTTTTGATGATTTATATATGGTTAAATGTCGTAATCGAACTTTTAATGAAATACCTGAACATACTTGTATCAGTATATGTTTAAAGTTGCAAAAGGTATACAGTCAGTGCTTTGGTCAAATTATTATAATGACATATTAACTATTAATCAAATATCTGAGATATTATTTGGAGTCAGAATTTTAAAATCTTGTAGGCTATAACAAATAAATGAAGTCGGTATATCTCACTTATAGTTTATATCAGATAAAAGTAGGTTACAACAGTTTTTCTAAATTTAAAGGATTTTCTAAAACTGAATGTTAGTAAAAAAATGATATTTTATTATTCCCACTTGCAAGAATCTTTGGAATTAAATATTGTGCAAATTGCATGAAAAAGTAAGGTATTTTAACTTAATTCTTATTTTGGGTAACATACTTTCAAAAATTTCATTTTGGTACTTAAGATGTAAAATTTTAAACATTTAAGTACCCAAGTAACCGGTTGAAAACTAATTATGGATTAAAAAAAAGACTAATTTTAGATTTTAAAAAATTCATGTCACCAACCACGTCCGCAAATAATATTGAGTTGAATACCACATCACTCGTTATATCAGCATGATAACCGGTTAATGCTTCAACCGGTTACCGGGTACTTAAATGTTTAAAACTTTACATCTTAGGTACCAAAATGAAAGTTCTGAAAATACGTTATCCAAAATAGGAATCAAGTTAAAATACGTTATTTTTTCATGTAATTTGCCCTTAAATATTTAAAAAAAAGGTAGAACGACTGTTTCTATGAACACCCACATCCTGTTAAAAGCATGCAAAAGAGAGACAGATACGGCAAATTTTGAAACTATATTGCGGAGTAAACAAGAAATTCCGCTAGCAAATACTATCAAACTAACTATTTACGATCGATTACCGCTACATTCACAAATCGCAAGCAACAAAATCACGAATTATTCAAGTAGAAGGCGACGCCTAGCAGATTTCGATAGATTTCCTGAAGAAGAACCGTTGTCTTTTGAGTTTTCGGTCGACTCTCCTTTAGATGAACGGAAAAATTGTGTAATATTGAGTTGAAGTCTTCTTGATGTCGGCGATGATGAATTCACGGGTGTGGTCGACGGAGATTTCGCTCTAGATTTTTTCCTCGATTTCATTTCCTTCGACTCCTGAACGTTTTTAAACGGTCATAAAGACTTGAATCAGATCAAAGCAAACAAACCCAGTAAATCCCATACATAAATAATAGTAGGGTCTAGGGGTTAAGATGTACGCAGATCTTCCCTCTGCCCTAAGTGGTAGAAAGACTTGTTTCTGTGAAGACATCCGACATGTAAAACAGAACTTAATGAAACAATAGAGCAACAGGGTCTTCACAGAAACAGTCTCTCCACCTAGGGGTATAAACGAGTCGAGCCGAGTCGAGCAGTAGGTTATTTGAGCTCAGCTCGAAAAAAATAATATCAGGCTCGAGCTCGAACAAGGTTTTCAAAGTAGGCTCGAGCTCGAATATTTTTTTGAATTATCGAGCTTGATGCTCGTTTAAGGACTCGAACTCGCAATCAAGCATCAGATAAAGTAAACCGAGAAAGAAAATCTCACCTTCTCTTGCATAAATTGATCAACCTTTTCGGGGTACGCAGCCATAACAAGATCCCTATTTTCATCAGTCGTTAAGCACCCGTTATCAACACGAACGTTGGTGACATCCGGTTCATCGAAGATATCCACCACGTGGTCCACTTCGTCAAGATCTTCTTCAACTTCGGCCTCCTCTTCCGCATGCGCCTCATAGATACGATTGTCAACTGTTTTTGCAGATTTTTTCCAAATAACCACGTAGAACGTATGACCGAACCTCATCTTCGTTCTCTGAATGAAATCAAACTCGTATTGTCCAAACAACAAATCGGTTTCTTGATTTTTGGTTATATTTCTCAAGAAAACGGTGGACAAAAGCGGAAAGAGTTTTTGCCGGATAAACGAGGGTTCCCAGTTCAGTTTATAAGCTACGTAATCAACTAACATTTCCGTACTCGGATTTTTCCACGATATAAACGGTTCGGCATCTAACATAGAGCAAGAACGGGAGTTATATATAAGTGTATATAAAGTTCTCGGATGAGTATGGCGGTAGATGGCGTTGCCTTTAAACTTACCGGTGAAACTGCTGTGGTTGTTGCTCAAATACATCTGAATGATTGCGTCATTCGGGAAGTTCGGCTCCGCAGCAATTTTTTTGCAAACTCTCGTTTTCCAAGCTTCTTTCTTCGTTTGCTCCTTTTCTTTCTTATCCTATCACCCAAAACATGACAACATGTTCTGACATTAGATCGATGATGACTCGAAGCATTATCATTTTCTCAACGAAAGTATGTCATAGACCTACTCAGAAAAAGACTCGTATAAGACATGTAAACCGAGTAGTCTTCATGGAAACAAAAACTCCCACAGTGCCACTGTGAACACCCCTAGTTGGCGAGATGGGAAAAATCCGGTCCCGGGCCAGGCTGGACCGAAATTGGTCCCAGTCCGAGATTTCCCTTTTGTAACAGCTTCCGATCTCAACCAAAAACTCCCGGCCCGTTCTCCATGTAAAAAGCCCGGTCCTGGGACGGGACAAATCGGTCCCAACTTCTTTTCTTCAAAAATCAATTTTAAACATATAAAAATCGTGTTTGAAGATTTTCTATAATTATGATTTTTGAAATTCGGTGACCGTTCCCAGACCGTCGATCCGGTCAGGTCCAATCGGTCCCGGGATGGGCCGGGCCGGGCCATTTTTTCCATCTCTACTTGGCACTTGATCAAAATAACTAGAGCTTCTATGTTTGAATCCTACATGTGTGCCTTAAAGACCACCCATCGTGTGCGATTTTTTAAAAAAACTAATAATTTAAGGATTGAACGCACTGATATACGTAAACATACCATATCACATGAGGAACAATCGCATGTAAACCCGATTGGTTTCTGTGTGCAACCTTTGATCGTACTTGAACTGCAACATTCACAAGAATCTTTTAGATGAGATCTCTTGCTTCCCGGATGTCCGCATAATGAACAATGAGAAACCCTCATTCTCGTTGTGTTTACATCTGAGTTATGGGAAGAGTCATCCACATAAGTCATAGTAAGCGTATTTCCGCTTCCTAATTCACGTAGCCTGCATAAACATTGACCATGGGCAAAATAGTCATATAACATGCACCAAATATGTCAAATGCACCAAATAGTCGTTGGCCCAACGGTATCTGGATTACTAGTAGAGCCCAACCTACCTCCGTGCACGTCAAGAGTTAAAGTCTCACCAAAGTTGAGAAGAGTGTGTGAGACTTGTTGTATATAGAATATTATATTCTTTTAGGGTTGGGTTCCAGTGAGAAGCGTAAGAAGGGATCTTCACCCTTGGATGCACATTAGGATGAGATGCACCGAGATGAGATGCACCAGATCAATCCCCGTATCAAGCGGGATTCATGGTGGGTTTGAGATAAAAGGTGATCAAGGGTCCAAATCCCTTCTTACGCTTCTCACCTTAACTCTCCTTCTCACACAACCCTTCGCCTATACTTATATATATATATATATATATATATATATATATATATATATATACACACACACACACAACTATGGAGGAAGGTTCAGCGGAAAAACCCCAAAGAAATGAAAAATTGAGGAACACCCTGAATACAAGTAATTGAAATTGTTTTTATGCATGTGTGCGCATGTGTACCGGACAAATTGCTTATAAATTACTTGTATGCACATGTGCATACCATCCAGATGAACGATCACCGAGGTATTCCTCAGTTTTTCATTTTTTTGCAGTTGTACCCTGAATAAGACCATATATATATATGTGTGTGTGTATATATGTATATATAAAGGGAGTTTCAAATACAAACCCTCTAATTAGTCCAAACCATACAAACCAACCAAATGAGATATTTATGAAAATGATGAGTGTTTATTTATTATGATATGTATATTTACGGAAGATGATCTTGTGCTCATTCATTATGATTAACGCTTTAGATAAGGAAACAATCGAGATATTTATGAAACCAGATATTCATTAAACTAGATGGACGGTTGAGATTAGTTTGTCTGGTTTGTACTAATTAGAGGGTTTGTATTTGAAACTCCCTATATATGTATGTGTGTGTGTGTCAAGTGTTGAACAAGTTTAAAACAAACATGTTCAAACCTATCTAAAACCTCATCTTCACCGAACAATTTCACAAAAGAAAGCGCCGTCTCGATCCCAATCCCTTGTACACCTTTCAAATCATGGTCATTTCCGACCAAAAGTGCAATGGCTATCAAGTGATTTCTCTTTAGTCCTAAGCCACCTTCCACATCCGACATTTGATAGCACTCAAATGGTTCCTGTGTATTCACATGTGAATTTCAATAGATATAAAACGAGCACTTCCTAACTAAATCAAACGCTTTCAACGTGTATTTAGGAGAATAACCTTTTTTCAAATGCATGATCTTTTCACAGATTTTGAGGCATTCTTCTGCTCGGCAGAGACATTCTATCAGAAGGTCGTGCATTTAAAAGAAATTTGTCAGGAGGTTATTCTCCTAAATAACCCCGCTTTTACTTGATCTTATAAAATGTTGCAAGATTGATGGCCAAAAAAAAGGTTCATTATTCATTATGAATGGCAACAAATGAGAACTCCTTTGTTGTTTGCAACTGAACTTTCCTTTCTCTCTTTATACTATATGCATAAATATATACATAGGGGAGCGATATTTTGCAAACCACTAAAATAATTTCATCATATTAAACAATTTCATGAAATTTTTTCACTAAAATAAACAATGAAATCGACGGTTTTCACGGTTTGTACAAATAGCTTGGCTTGCATTTTATCCCTCTCTTATACATACATACATATACATATATATATCGTGGTTTTCTAAGATATAGTTAGACGGGGGAATTATACACAAGATGTTACCTGAGAGTTGGGCTTGAGGCGCTTAATAATACATTTGGCGCCAAAGAGGAACGCATCACTATCAGAGGTAATACAAGCGTCAACACGACCTTCCCTATTTAATTGTGCACAAAGTCCTTCGGCCTCTCCACTCGCTCTCAAAACCGGCATTCCAAAAAGTTCAAGTAACTCCTATTGAATAACGAGTTAACTTTTACAATCAAACTTCAGAGAAATTTCCAATTCCACAACCCAAATGTATATATGGATGTAAGTATGTATTTCCGGATGTAAGTGTGTGTCCATGGATGTATGCATGCATGTATCATATATCTATATATGCAAGGTGTGTTGAATGATACTTCAAAATATGGTAGTCAAAGTGGTTTCCATTTTTTTGGTTTAGTTTCATGTTTTCGGTTGGTAGTATGCATTGTTTGCGGTCATTGAGCACGTGCTAATTGTTAGGCTTGGGTACAATTCACTTTTAAAAAAACCGGGATCTTCATGGAAACATCCTCTCTACCACTTGGGTAGAGGAAAGACCTGTGTACATCTTATCCTCCCCAGACCCAACTCTGTGTGGGATTTACAGGGTTCGTTTGGTTTGGTACATTGTAGGCCTATTTAGGCTATGTTTGGCAAACCAACTGATAAGTTAGTTGTTAGCTGAAAAGCTAATTATTGGCTAAGAGCATCTCCAACAGATTCTCCAAAATAGAGAAGCTGAAGGAGTTGAACGTAATATTTTTTAAGATTCTGATTTTTGATTCTCAAATTTTTAAAGATTTTATTAATAAGCTAGCTGATAAGCTAGCCATGTTTGGTAACAACTAGTTGATAAGCTAGATAACAATGTAAAACGACCTAAAAGAACCACTATCACATAACAGAAAGAAAATAACTAACCACGCATTCTTGAACGCAATTTAAGAACTTTCTATTTCTTTCGACAGAAGTTCCATCCGCCAGCTGCACGCTTGTAAGATCAATTCCAGATGCTTGCAAAAACCGCATGATCCTTGCTTGAGACTTCAATGGCGATGGGGTTCCATCTGCCACAAACACCGGAAAAGCACCAAACTGCAAAATTTTGCCACACAAATCAAATCTCTAATTCTTGCAAAATTAAACTAAATAATTAGATGGTAATGGAGGTAAAAACGAAAAACTAAAGCAAGTTAAACCCATTTCAAGAAAAGAAAATACGAACATAACCCCAAAAGGAATCACCATCAAGAAACTTAATTATTCAAACCAATGAATCTTTATTTATACGGTTGGGTTCCAGTGAGAATAACAAGAGTTTTTTTTTTTTTTTTGATTAACCTGGATATCCAACCCGCTATGCGAGCCGACTAATCCCAGGACGACCACCCGCTTCATAGATAGCCCGGAGTCATCGCATTTGAACCTCCGTGGCATAAGGCGATTTTTATTCCTCCTTGGATTTGAACCTCAGACCTCCTGGTACTTTGACCTTTGGAGCCAAGCTCAAACCAATCAGGAACCACCCTTGTGGTTGAGTTCTTTTTTTTATTTACCTCGATATCCAACCCACTATGCGAGGCGACTAATCCCAGGGAGACCACCCGCTTCGCGGATAGCCCGGAATCACCGCATTTGAACCTCCGTGGCACTTTTGACCTTTGGAGCCCAAGCCCAAACCAATCGGGCACCACCCTTGTGGTTAATAATAAGAGTATAGTGAGAATGTAAGAACAAAACATTCATCTACCTTCATTCACCTATTTTTATCATCATGATTGAAACTTTAACAAATTCATTCATGTTAAAGTGATTAAATGAATGTAAAAGTTAGTGAAATTGACTGAAACCGAAGATAAATGTGAAGATATAAAGGTAGAAAAAAAAAAACTCATCAAAAGGCTCAGAAATTTTCTCACCGTAACTTTATTCCCACGCATCCCAAGTCTTATTTATATAATCATTTCCGAAAACCAACAAGAACAACCAAAACCCATATCATATAAAGTGTCATTCCGTAATCCCATTTCGAAAAAAACATCATAGAAAAAGAATCAATCGACATCTTTTCATATAATTTCTTCAAAAACCAACAAAAGTCTTGATCATATAGTGTTCTATTTCATGAATCAAACCAAACCCACAAACAACATCAACAATGAAAACCCAAATCAAACCAATTAGAGAAAACCCATTGAAAATTGAATGAATTCACTCCACCCAAAATACCCTAAACACAAATTATGAACCACAATTGATCATATCTTGCAACTATCAACCAAATTGAATTAAAATCTTTAAAAATAAGTAGGCATTGAATCATTCACCATCTGTATATTTTGACTCAGAATATAATGAGTTAGATTTACCTTGGAGAACAGATTGATGGTACGGAAGAAAGTGAGTCTGAGATGAGGGTTTCGAGTGTGAGCCTTAATGGCGGTTTCATGCTGAACAATCCAATACGATAGATCAATGGCGACCCTTTTGTTTCTCAGAAAATCAAACCCTTCTGTTCGAGCATAGGGTTTAAGTAAATCCCAAAAATTCCCCCCAACACCCATTTCCTTAAAATTAACACAGAAAACGAACGGATTTGTGTGATTCAATGGACATTATGATGAGTAAAATCGTTCGTAAGCTTCAAGATTTCATCAATTTCTGCAGGAAAATGATGAGAATTGAGAATTGAGAATTGAGAATTGAGCAGCAAGCAGCGGAAGAACAACTCTGAACAAGACAATCGATTTGGTTTCTTGATTTGGGTGTCGGGGCCGCTAGTATTATACGGGTCGACCCAATAACCAAATATGGGACTATGATCGTCTAACGGTTAAATTTAGGGAGGAAATTCAAGAAAAGGAGAAAACTTGTGATCGATGAAAGAATTCTTCCAAATGAGTAATGCGTTTTTGATCCTCAATGGGAAATTCTTTACTCTTCTGACAGTTTCTATTGAAACAGATTTTTTTTAAATTAAAAAATTAAAATTTTATTTATTATTTTATTGTAATAATTTTTTTATATTATTATTTAAAATGGAGAAAAAAATAAAGATAACTTTTAAGGTTAAATAACTTTTTAATATATATATATATGGGGTATATTTTAAAGGGCAAAATGCATAAAATAACAATCTATTTTTATAAATTTATTTATTATAGTATTGTATTTTCAGTTTTTCTTATTACAGCAATGTACTTTCAAACTATTTTTTATTAGGACATTGTACTTTGAAAAATTTACCCATTATAGCATTGGATAACCTTTTAATTTAAAATTTACCCATTATACTAGGTTTTCATGCCACCTCATTGTCCACATAGGCTGTCCACATGTACTATAGTGATGTGACTTTCTTACTACGTCATTGTACTTTCAAAATTATTTTATCATAGCATCTAATAGTTCTTATTAAACACTGTATTTTTAATTTTAGATATTTTACATGTTATTTAGTAAATGTATTAAATGAATTAAAAAATTCTAAATTATTCATTAATATATCAATATCAATAAAACTAGTAGAACACAACTTATTTTGTTAATATTTTTAAAAAAATATGTGTTTTTTGAAAAAAAGAAAAAGAAAATAAGAATTGTTCTTTTTTACCAAAAAAATATTATCTTTTAAAGAATATATTATATTTGTTCAAAAACTTTTTACTTGACGTATAAATATATTAAGTTAATTAGATTTTTTTRAATTATTTATTAAWATAACAATATTAAAAAATTGTAGATAACAATTTATTTYGTTAATATTTTAAAGAKAACTTTAAAAGATATGTATTTATTTGAACAACATAAAATAGGAAAAATTATTTTTTTTATAAACAAAATATATATCGAAAATAATGTTTCATATTTATTTAATAAATATTTCACTCTAAGAATATTTAATTTGAATGCAACTTAATAACTAAAAGTAAAAAAAATAAATAAATGTTTTTTTAGATATAACAATGAAAAATGAAAATCACTAATAATAATTTGAAATATGTTTTTATTTTAATTTTAGTTAAGTTATCAAAATGATGTGTCATTCACATCACCTCATTAAAGTCACACAAGCAAAAAAGTCAAATGGTTAACCGGTATAAAAGGTAACAGGTTACCCATTGCTATTATGGGTAAATTTTTTAAAGTACAATGCCTTAATAAAAAATAATTTGAAAGTACATTGCTGTAATAAAGAAAAACAAAAGTAGAATGCTATAATAAAAAAATTTATAAAAGTAGGTTGCTATTTCATGCATTTAACCCTATTTCAAATGCAACTATATCTAATTGTACAACCAATACGACTCAATCAATTGAGATATTTATAGAAATGATAATAGTTCATGTATTATGATTTGAATATTTATGGAAGATGAATAGAGTTTATTAATTATGATCAATATTTTATATTAGCAAACAATCAAAACTTCTATGAAATCACATATTCATCAAATTAAATTGACAGTTGAGATTGAGTTGTATTGGTTATACAAATGTAAATGGTTGTATAATAACCCACATCTCTCTCTCTCTCTCTCTCTCTCTATATATATATATATATATATATATATATATTAACCTGGATACGCAACCCGTTATGCGAGCTGATTAATCTCAATATGACTATCTGCTTTGCGGGTAGCTCAGAGTCATCTCATTTGAATCTCTGTGGCCACAAGGGACTTTTATTCCTCCTTATATATGAATCTGGAACCTCCAGACATTTTTGCCTTTTAGAGTCAAACTCAAACTAATCAAACATCATCCTTCTGGTTAACTTTTTAATACTTGACGTGAGAAGATAGAAAACAAAGTAAACTACGATTTTCGTCCTTCTGGTTTGTTATTTATAACAGAAATTGTTTCTGGCCTTCGAAAATTGCTTTTTTCGTCCTTGTGGCTTCTATTTTGTTGCTATTTTCGTCCCTCGAACTGATTCCGTTAAATCAAGGACAATTTAGTCATTTTACCTTTTTATTATTTTCAATTAAAAATATATATTTTTTAAATTGGATTATATATATATACACACACACACAATGAAGCAGTACCCATATCTGTTCTTGATTCTAATGTAGCAGCAAGCCAACAAATAGATCACACAATTTCAGCAAAGAATTCAAAACCCTGTTTCATAAATCCCAAAAAAGATCCACTTATCGGATAAATATCAGTGAAGAAAATGACTACAAACATGAAAAAGAAGGGGAGTTTCCTTCGTTTTTTGCATATAAAAAAAAGGAAAAAACGCATCGGTATTGTTTCTAGCATAAGGGTTTCGTCTTGGGTTTTGGTTTTGTTATTAATTTAATGACATACTGTACGCATTGTTAACTTGTACATTGAATATTATTTTAATCAAAAATAGATAAAGAGTAAAAAAGACAACGATGCCCTTGATTTAGCAGACAGTTTTTGACAAAGTTACACTCAGGGACGAAAAGTGAAACGAAATGGAAACCACAAGGATGAAAAAGCAAATTTTAAAAACGAAAGACGAAAATCGTTATAAACAACAAACCACAAGGACGAAAATTGTAGTTTACTCTAGAAAATAATATATTTTGATTTTTGATTTTTTTTACTTTGAAGAAATAAATTTAAAGAATCTGGTGGAGATGCTTTGATTAATATTGTAATCTTTAAAAGGAATTGTTGTAGTTAAATGTAATTTTTTTAAGATTTTCAATTTTGATTATTTATTTTTAAGAATTTTAAAGAGTTTGTTGGAAACGTTTAACCTCTTCGAATTTTTTTTGTGGGTCCCATATATTTCAGTACGAACTTACATCAAGTTTTTTTTTATTATTAAACGTAAAAAAGAAAATAGAATAAAATAATATTTTTATCCCCATAGTTTCAAAATTACAAGATGGTCATCGTAGTTTGTAAAAACATCCGGATTTGATCTTTCCCTCCAACGGTCATCAAAACAATTCGTTAAATGACAAATAATCGTTGGTGAAAAACCCTAAAACCAATTTCAACAATGGTGAAAAAGAGGTGGAGAAGATGAAAATCTTGAGCTCCACCCCACAAAATGAACAAAAAACTGTTGAAAATGAGTTTTCTTATCTTTTTAGCACCAAACCTAACCACTTCAAAGTATCGATTAAGATTTATTTTAAAGTTAAAAATGCATTTAAGGCCTAGAAATATACGTACAAAAGTTCGGGTGTTACAAACATTGCAGACCCAACCCATATTCTTAAAGTCATTTAGTTGATTAAAAAGTGTAATGATTACAAATATTCTAAAACTGTATCATTTCCATCGTGGATATTTATTTCACGGCAGATGAAGTAACTCTTGTAGTCTGGAAAATCTTATATTTCGAAATATGGAATTTTTGTAATTTTCATTTTGGAGAACGTATTTTCGAATGTACATATATATAGTTGATGTGAGCCTAAGCGAGTGAGCGTAGATGATCGGGCCTTACTGTTCTTGGAAGTCCATTACCGAGCCCATAGAGCGTCACACTTAAATGAACATAACTTTTGCTACGGGTTTCCGTTTTAAGCCCACAATATGTGGAATCGAAGCTAAGAACGAGTAGCACGTCTTGTGTAGTACTAGAGATGGCCAAATGGGCCCAGCCTGGCCCGTAACCTCCCGAGGACCGGAACTGGGACCGGTATGGACCGCCGGTTGTGGACTGCCGGTTATGAAACGGTTATGGATTTTAACGTTTTCTAGGACCGAGACCGGTTAAGACCGGAACCGGTTATGTAACCGGTTATAGGACCGGCCCGGCCCGATCAACAAAAGTCAACGTGTATATATATATATAACAAAACGTATTTATAAAATTAAACGTATATATATACATATATATATATATATATATAACAAAACATATTTTTAAACGTATTTATAAAATTAAACGTGTGTATATATATATAACAAAACATATTTTTAAACGTATTTATATAAAACATATTAAAAATTTATTAATAAACAAATATTTGAAAAAAAAAATATTTTTTTTGGCCGGGACTGGTTATGGGACCGGAACCGGGACCAGATTCCATAACCGGTTACTGGTAAGCTTGACCGGTTACAAGATATTTCATCGGAACCGGGACCGGGACCGGTTATGGCAGGACCGGTTACCGCCGGTTACAAGATATTTCACCGGGACCGGGACCGGTTATGGTAGGGACCGGTTAAGGACCGGCCCGGGACCGGATTTTGGCCATCTCTAAGTAGTACCCAAAGAGGCCTATGCGATTTTCGAGCCCAAAAAGCGTTACATATTTTGAGGTATTTTTAAGTTTTTTTGGTCAATTTTCTCATTTCTCGTTTGGGCTCTTTTATATTTGGCCAATCACTTTTCAATCCCGTTGCTTTTGAACTCTTTTTATTGATTGTTGTTGTATCTGGATGGTCAGATGATGAATGACACACGTTTCCCTTTCCATCCAAAATTTCGAGCTATTTGAATTCGTATTTGAGACTAAAACTTGGTATTCTCGAAATCAACACGTTTTAGAAGTGGTTTTTATAGGTATTCGTAGAATCAAGATGACTAGTCTTTACTGTCGATTATTCTACGTTGCATAATAGTTAAAAGGAAATTATATTTAAGTTCATTATTAAAAAAATATCAATTTCTGATTTATCCAATATTTCAGTCTGGTTGGTTCTTTATGCCTAGTTTTAGTGTAGCAGTTATATTTCAATTTATCCTCTTGCGTTTATCAGTTTTAGGAATATCCCTGTTCATAGATCCAAGATCTACATCTATGAATCGAAAAGTCCGAATTATCTGCATTTTATTTGAAAATGTTTTTCCTCCTATAAAAATAATGTTTTTGGATAGAATCTTATAAAAGGAATAATGGAAAGGATAAAATCAATTAAGTTCATACAAAGGATAGATGAGATGTTGTAATGAAGTCAAAAAGATATTTTAAATTAAAAAAAAATACTAAAAAGTCATTTTCAAAATTAAATGTTTAAAACTTTAATGCTTCAACAAGTTACATGAGTAATTAAATGTTTAAAACTTTACATTTTAGGTACCAAAATGAAAGTTTTAAAAATACGTTACCTAAAATAAAAATTAAGTTAAAATACGTTATTTTTTCATGTAATTTACCCTTTTTAAAATGAATAAACGTTGTAATTAAATATAAATGTTTTTGTGGAGATTTTGTGTTTTGATTTTCCATTTTTGGAAAAGAAATTGAAATTTTTTGTTGGAGATATTTGTTAGAGTCCGGTAAATCTTACTATTAAAATGTTTTGTCTAATCGAGCATAAATATGATTTGACGCAAAATCTCGAACAGATAAATCTCTAAAACAAAGGTTGTTAACAAAAAGAGACAAACACGTAACGGTTTGTCTTTCTTCCTGTATTATTCGTTGTACACGTACATCATATTTAAAGTAAATGAAAACGACGCCTTTAATTATACGTTTTGGCTTGGAAGAAAAATTAAATGTCTAAAATACCGTTTAATAAACAAATATATGAATCATATCAATTTTCGTATATTGTAATGATTGTCTGTAAAAACTTAATTAAATTTAGAGATGAATCTTCCAGAAACAAAAACGAATTTTGACTTTTGTAGTAAAAATGTGTACGATTCGATTCAGTCGGTTTAGGATGTAAAATATTGGTCAAACCAGTAAACTCGGTTTGGCAGTTTTATAAACAAAATCGACTAAATTAATGAATTCAGTCAGACTAATCGAACAAAACTGATAAAAACCAGTTCGACATAATCCAGTAATAGAAAATTAAGAAAAACTTACAATCATTTTTATTAAATTAAACCAAACCAGACAAAATTAAGAAAAACTTACAATCATGAAGAAAAAAAAAAGTTTTAACAGGCTTTTAAGGGTGTTCATGGATTGGATTGATCGGGTTAAAAACATTTGAACAATACAAACCAATATTTGCTGTTTGAGCACCCTTACAAGCTTTTAAACAAAATATCTCCAAAGTTTCACAACTGCCCCCTTTAGTATCTTTGAGCATGCACTGCTACCCTTTGATTTATATCTTTATACTAGAAGTAGTCCATCAACTTTAAACAATCATCATAAACCTTCCTATCTTTATAATATAGAAAGTGACTTATCCAGTAAGTTTTAGAAGGAGCTTTATGTAGAAAAACAATTTTTTTCCCCAAACATGTTCCATTTATGAAAACTCTCTCTATCTATAAAGATAGATTAATCCACATAGTGAACTTTATTCATACATGACTTAATGAAAAATCAACCAAACAAAACATAAGTGTCATATAAACATAATTAGTCTGTAATTACTGGTAGAATTTGCCCTTTAGCTTTAATCAAACATTTTTATCATACAACATTCATGTGGTTACCCTCCATTTAACCAACGTCCCTTTATGTGACGAGTAACACCTTCATCAATCCCATCCTCATTCTAAATCATATAGCCTAAGTACTTGAAACCGTCATTTGCAGGTATCTTTTGTGTTCATATGCTGCCTTCTACCCCATCTTCATTACATACCTGCTAAAAATTTCACGAAAAGAAATTCAGTATTGGACTGATTAACACACAAACCCCGAGTCTCCAAACTCACCATTCATTGTTCCAACCTAACACTCACTGCTATCTTCGTTTTCGCTAACACAACGATCTCAACAACGAACACACGTCAACGTTCACATTTTCTTTCTCTGTCACCCTCTCTCTTGCTAAGTGTTTAAGAATTAAATTATAATATTTTCAAGAATTGTTATCTTTTAAATAAATTACAACAAGAAATTGTTTTTTAAGCAATAATTATGAATCGACAAAAATATAAATCGGGTTGCGAATTAAAATAAATAAGATTTTTTTTAATAATATAAGATAGAGGTGGTTTATTACCGATATATCCTTACAAATCGAACAATACAATCTCAACCGTCCATCTAATCCAGTGAATATTGATTTCATAAAAATCTCGATTGTTTTATAATATAAAACATTGATCATAATTAATGAACTCTAATAATCTTTCATAAAATATCCAAATGATAATAAATAAACTTTTATCATTTACATAAATATTTTAATTGATTGATTTATATAGTTTATAATAATTACATCATTTATGTTTAAAACCTCATCATATAAATAAACCAAAAAGCCATTTTTACCGGTTGGTTTCATCTTTTAGCTTTTTTTTACAAGATTTACCAAAATAGCCGTAAGTCAGCAATTTTAATTTTCTTTTGCAGACCCGGGTGAATATGTAATTTTTTTTTGCAGATAAGAATAGAAAGTGTAATTTAACGTGGATTTTACAAACTATGACTATTTTGGTAATCTTAAATCAAATTACCAAAAATAATTGATTTTAAAATATATCATGATTTTAGTACCAATTTTAATATCTAAATGGAGATGATCATCTAAAATACAAAATAAAAGTATATTATTATTATTATTATTATCACATTTTTTTGAAAATTTCAAGTATAAAATAAAATGAATATATTATATTTCAAAGTAACAAACACATATATAGGGAGACTTGAGATCACGTGAGACCATTTTTTTTACACTTGAAAAATTCACAATCTTTTGCTGTGAACCAAACTATATATATATATACATATATATATATATATATATATAGAGAGAGAGAGAGAGAGAGAGAGAGATGACGTTTCAAATGCAACTCATCACATTTGTATAACTAATGCAACCTAATCAATTGAGATATTTATGAAAATAATAAGAGTTCATTTATTATGATTTGAATATTTTTGAAAGATGATTAGAGTACATTAATTATGAAATCACATATTCATCAAATTAAATGAAAGGTTGAAATTGAGTTGTAGTGGTTGTACAAACGTAAAATGTTGCATAATAACCCACCCCTCTTTTCCTCTATAAGATATATATATATATATATATATATATATATATATATATATATATATATAGGGGCTGATTTAAATGCTAACCAAGATTATCATGTTAACTTTGTTAACCGGTCTTGACCGTTAATTTGAATAATAAACGGTTGTGATTTAATGGTATTTAAAAATTAATTATTAAATTAATATTTTCAATTAACATATGTGAACAAAATATCAAAGAGTATTTAGGTAAAAAGTAATCTATATTTGATACATGAGTTGTCAGACATATGAACAACTTGTGTATATCTTCAAACCACATCAAACAAAAAAGATTAGACATGTGAACATGTGAACCGTATGAACAACTTGTGTATATCTTCAAACCACATCAAACAAAAAAGATTAGACATATGAACATCATGTGAACCGTATGAACATCTTCTATATATTCATGAGCCAACTCTGCTATATGTACATGAACACCTATAAACCAAGACATCTAGGGTTGTATGTTTTCATACGTGTTCACATGTTTTCACATGTTCTGTGTGTGTATGTGTATGTATTCATATGAACATCAAGTGACTTGAATATACATGAACACTTACGAATCACGACATCTAAGGCTGTGTAATTTATGATGTGTTCATATGTCAAATATGAGAACCGTCGATTAAAATAAATGTGAATTATAGAACACGAACACGTGCGAAACCCCAATGTCAATATTGCATTATGATCAATTGTGATATTTTCAAATTTGTAACTCCCAATTAATTATTTGGGAGTTACATAAAATGACAAATTACTTAAATACTCTTGTATTTAATATATGAGTTACATTTGAATCAAAGAAAAAGATGGAATATGATTGGTTGAGCATGGTTAATATAACTAACACAAAAAAATTGGTTAGTATTTGAACCAAGCACGCTCTCTCTCTCTCTATATATATATATATATATAGAGAGAGAGAGTATATTTCAAATGCAACCATGTCCATTTGTACAACCAATGCAACCATGTCCATTTGTACAACCAATGCAACCCAATCAATTGAAATATTTATGGAAATAATGAGAGTTCATTTATTATGATTTGATTATTTATGGAAAATAACTATGATTAACTAATTATGGTCAATACTTTATATTAAGAGAAACAATCTAAACTTTTATGAAATCATATATTCATCAAGTTAAATGGACGGTTGAAATTGACTTGTACTAGTTGTACAAATGTAAAATGTTGCATAATAACTCACCTCATCTCTCTCTCTCTCTCTCTCTCTCTATATATATATATATATATATATATAAAGAGAGGGGGTGGTGGGTTTACGTGAAAACGACTTGTTTTTTGCATTTGAAACTTTATAACAAAACATTATAAAGATAAAAAAATTAAACATAAAAAAAAACACTATAAAAATTATCTTCACATTATTTTACGGTAAAAATTTTAATATAAAAAATTATTCCCATTCTCTTACGAAAACATGAAGTGTGTATATATATATATATATATATATATATATATATATATATATATAAAACCTCCCACACGATTCTCCTTCTTCGTCAGCCTCTCTACGCATTTATAAACCCTTCCATTCCTTTCCTTTCCTTCTTCATGTGTTCTTGGTTCATCGTTAACGTGATCGAACCGAATCACTCTCTTTTATCAATTCCCCATTCTCTCTAAATCTTAAACGTGAAGAATCCATCACATTTCCCCACCCAATTCCTGTAAAATTGATCCACTTTTTTTCAAGCAAAAACAGAGCAACACACAAATGAAGAACAACGAAGAACAAGCTCGATCGCTATTTGGTATTTCTCTTTCTGTTAGACCCAAATGGCAGCAGTTTCTCATCTGTTCATCTGGGTTTTTCTTTGGCTACCTCGTTAATGGCGTCTGTGAGGTGATTTCTGCAAAAACCCTTGTGAAATTTCTCAATAATTTCCAAGAATTAGGGTTTTATTTCGCTAAATCGAACCATTTCCCCTCTTTTTTCTGGTGATGGTCTACAGAAATTCAAGAATTTGGGTCTCATTTATTGGTTTAATTTTGTAATCTTGATTGAAAAATTAATAAATTTAATTGTTTTTAGACTGTTTTCTTGATCATATTTATGATTCCATGGAAGATTTTGGGAATATTTCGGCGAATTTTAAGATTGTGTTAGGTTTTATTGACAATTTCTTAACAAATTCCATTTTTTTTAATTTTAGTTAATTAATTAATTTCTATTTTTAGTATTTTAATCAATGTATTAACATTTAATTTATATTTTTTAATTTATTATTGAATTTTTAATCATTTAATATTTATGTCATAATCTTTATTTTATGGGTAAAGTTTTATTCCTATCTTGAATGAATAATTTGAACTATTCTATTGCCTTTGAGTTCAAAAGCAAGCAAGGCTTGAATGAATGATGGTTCTAATTCTAACCATTCACATGTGAATTGTGATGTTTTTATAGGAATACGTATATAATCGGCTTCAATTCAGGTGAGTTTTTCGCTTAACAATGAATCCGAGATTCGTTTTTCGTTCGAAAGTTTGAGACTTTATCGAGTTTAGCTTCGAAGTTTTGATCTTCGCAACGGTTTCTTGTAGTTACGGGTGGTACTTTACGTTCGTTCAAGGATGGGTTTATCTCGGCTTGATTTACTTGCAAGGGTTCACCACGAAGCAAATGGTGAACCCGTGGAAGACTTATGTCAAGCTCTCTGCGGTTCTTATGGGTTCTCATGGTCTAACCAAAGGGTCGTTGGCTTTCCTCAACTACCCGGCTCAACTCATGTTTAAATCTACCAAGGTGCGATCTTGAATTCTTTATACGCTCTACGTATTGTTTGGTTGTATTGAGAACGTGCGTAACGTGATGCAGAGTAGGATTAACGGGAAAATCGCGCTTACATATTGTTTGGTTGTAGTAAAAACCCTGCATAGCTTGATGTGGATTATATCAACGGAAAAAGAGAAAAATCCCAACTCAAAACGACTATTTCCCGTGTGAAAACGGTCGTATCTTGTGGGTCATGTAACTCAAAACGGTCGTATCTTGTGGGCCCCACACGTAACTCAAAACAGATCAAAAATTCTGAAACTTTTGAGTTGGCTTGTTTTCCTTTCCCTATTGATCCATGAAAGCGTTACTAGGGGTTGTTTGGTTGATTTTCCATCAAGTCCTGTATGGATACAGTTGTCTATGTGGATTAATTTGTGTAGATTGGAAAGGTCTTTGTTTGTGAGGGTTTTTTCATAGATGAAAGCGGTGTATTTTTTTAACTCGAAAGAGCAGGTTCGGGAAAAACTTGGTTTTCTTCATAAAGCTCCCCTTTAGAAAGCTTACTGAACAAACCACTTTCTATATCATTAAACTACTATCGAACAGTCATGAATAGCTTACCGGATAAGCTGTGAGTCTCATTAAGCTTGTTAAGCAGCTAACGAACATGCCTTAAGTTCCATTAAATTGTTGTTTGTTTATTATGCGGAATACCATCCAAATGAAAAAAAATTACCATTTTACCCCTTATTGTTTGTGTTTTCATTAATCTCATGTTTTTTTTCTCCTAAAAAAGTTGACGATAAAATGGATCGACCAACAATAACCCGAAAATGCTTGTGTAACGGACGATACAATTGGCTTTCCATATCCTTATGAGTTCGTAGATAGGTGTAAGCTTGGACCACGAAACCAAACCAACTAAGCCAAACCGGTTTGTTCAAGTGGGCTTGTGGTTCTAACCAAAACCGAACTAGGCTGAACCGCTTACACTCTTAACTCCATATGCCTTTTTATATGGTTAATCGATGAATGTGTTGCGTTTTTCAGGTTCTTCCGGTGATGATAATGGGGGCATTTATTCCTGGTTTAAGACGAAAATACCCTCCTCACGAATACGTGTCGGCATTACTTCTAGTAGTAGGACTAATCCTATTCACTCTAGCTGATGCAAATACTTCCCCTAATTTTAGCATCATTGGAGTTCTGATGGTATCTGGTGCATTAGTTATGGACTCTTTCCTTGGGAATTTTCAAGAAGCTATCTTTACCATGAATCCCGATACAACACAGGTGAGATTTACACGACTTAATGCAAACTTCCGTAGAGAAAAAAAGCGCTTACCGTTATTTTTGTTTCGGTTTCTTGTGAAGATGGAGATGCTCTTTTGCTCAACCGTTGTCGGTTTGCCGTTCTTGATTCCTCCGATGATTCTGACCGGGGAATTGTTCAAAGCTTGGAGTTCTTGCTCTCAGGTAAAGTTTAAGGGTGCGTTTGGTACAGACAGGACAAGACACAAAAGGACAAAAATACCCTTTTCAAATTAAAACCCTAAAACCTTCCGGAGTTCTTTCACCAAGGGGTGTAAAGAAGTCGAGCTTTTAACGAGCTACTCGAGCTCAAGCTTAATAATTCTCGACCTTGAGTCGATTTCGAACAAAAAATAAAGTTGGCTTAACTTAACGAGTCGAGCTACATAACACCAATATTCGACTCAACTCGTTTGAAAGCTCGATTAAACTTTACGAGTCGAGTCGATCCATTCGAGCATATACCTTTTTGAGTCAAATATATTTATATATTTACAAATTATATAATCAAAATTGAAAGGCATCTAGCTTGAGCAACTAAATAAGTTAACCGATCTCGAGTTCGAGCACGACTTTGAAAAAGTTAATCGAGCTCGAGCTCGAGCTCGAGCCTGATTTTATTTTCTCGAGTCGAGCTCGAATAACCTGCTACTGGACCTGACTTAACTCGACTCGTTTACACCCCTAATCCGATCAACGATCACATATCTAACGTTTTTCAATCTTTTCGCTTTGTGGGTATAGCATCCTTACGTCTATGGCGTGTTGGTTTTCGAAGCAATGGCGACATTTATCGGCCAAGTTTCGGTTCTTTCGCTCATTGCCATTTTTGGAGCAGCCACCACTGCCATGGTAACAAGCTTCTCTTGAAACCCATATCTTGTGTTGCACATTTATACCGAAATAAATTTTATAAGACCCAAATATGTCTAAATGTCCTAATAGATTGCTTTATAGGATAATGTACAAATGCTTTTGGACATCCTAACGAGTTTTTATGATACTTATGATCACATTTTAATTTGTAGGACACGTTTTGTTTCAAAACTGTCCTAAAAAACTTGTTACGACGTCAAAAAACGTCATATCAACTTATTATAACATCTTTACATAGAACATACAATTGTTTGGTTTCGATAAACTTATATATCACTCTATTATGATATGGGTTGGGTTCACGTGAGACCAACATGTTTCCGTGAGATCCGTGAGACCACTTTTTTGCACTTGAAACTTCATAGCAAAATGCTGTGAAGTAACCTTCACAGTGTTATTGCTGTGAAGGTTCGTTTTTTTTTTTAATTTCACAGAGTTTTGCTGTGAAGTTTCAAGTGTAGAAAAGTGGTCTCACGGGTCTCACAAAAACAAGTTGGTCTCACGTGATCCCAAGACATTGTGATATTTAGAGATATACGAGTGGCAAAAAACATGAAATTCCCGTATGTGTGGTGTACTTTGTGTTTCTGAACTTGTACTATATCTATCGATAGATCACAACAGCAAGAAAGGCGGTCACTTTACTTCTTTCGTACATGATATTTACAAAACCGTTAACGGAACAACATTGTACCGGTTTGATTATGATATCGATGGGCATTGTGTTGAAGATGGTCCCTGAAAATAAACCGACGTCTGTAAAGATCAACGAGGTTTCGCCTTTATCGAGCAACAGGAACCGAATGGAAAATGATGAGGAGGATCAAAGGCCTTTGGTTTGATAGATTTGAATGTTTTTCCCTTTGTGTTTTGCATCTTTTGTTTTATTTGTATTTACAATCTTTTTTGAGATAGAATTTGTGGGTATGAACAATAAAGATGAATGCATTAAAGGGTTTTCTTTCTTTGTGATAAATAAGCTTTATATATATATATATATAGAAAGAGAATTGAGATAATGTGAGACCAGCATGTTTTTATGAGACTCGTAAGATCATTTTTTTACACTTGAAATTTTACAACAAAATGTTGTGAAAGCAACCTTCATAACGTTTTGCTGTGAAGGTTCAATTTTTTTTTACCTTCATAGCTTTTTGATGTAAAGTTTCAAGTGGATCTCACGAAAACAAATTGATCTCACGTGAACCCAACTCATAACTTATAACCTTGAATTTTAAAATATCTACATAAATAAACTGTAACTGATACTTAATAAGTTGTTTTCAAATTAAATCAATATATATATATATATATATATAGAGTTTGTTTCAAATACAACCTGTTGCATTTGTACAATCAATGCAACCCAATAAATTGAGATATTTATGGAAACGATTAGAGTTCATTTATTATGATTTGAATATTTATGGAAGATGAGTATG